CTCGTCCTGAGAGGGCGCTCTCTGGGCCGCCGACTGCACTTTCTTCTCCTCCCACCTGGGCGGGCGGCGGGGCCGGCTCTGTAGACCCGCCTGGCTCCACCCCCTGCGCCCCCGGCACTGCTTGGGTTGCTGCGAGGGGAGGGTGCAAAGGCGCGCTCCCTGCTCCTTGCCCGCCCAAGACGCCTGCCCCGGGGCAGGCACCCACCTCAGGGCAGCAGATCTCCCCATGGCCGCGCGGCACAACGCAATCTGCTCCACCGTGTTCTGCAGCTCCCGGCTCTTGGCGCGCTTGCCCTGGATGATCTGGTCCCGCTTCTCCTCCTCCTTCCGCTGCTGAGTCTCCTTGAGCAGGGCCAGCCGCTCTCGCAACTCTACCACGGACATCTCCCCTTCCAGGCCGTAGCCGGGGATCTGCAGGGTGGGCGGTCGAGGCCCCAGGCTGCCCGGCTGTCTCCTGTGCCCCAGCTTTCCCTCTGCCCCATCCCTGGTGTCCCTCCCGAGTTCCACAGGCCTGGCCCCGTGCCCAAGAGACCTCCTTCTGTCTGCTCAGTGGTGCCTGGGTAACATGTCCACCAGCCAGCTTCTCCAGCATTGGCCGCAGCCCTAGACTTGTGGGGGGCTGGACATCTCAGCTGGGTGCCCTGCAGGCCCCTCCACTGTGGCAGGGCCCAAGTGGAGCTCACCAGTGTCTCCCCAGCCAGGACCTGGGGGCCTGGGTAGAGAGCCCTTTGGACATTGGACACCCACTGGGACCAGGCCTGCCCCCACCTCACCAGGTGCCAGCCTGGCCTCTCCTGGTGATTCTCACACAGGCTTCCAGGCACAGCTGCCCTTCTCTCAGCCTCCTGCTGGTCCAGCCCTGGGCCTCCATGCATGTGTCTTCTCCCTACACCGCCCTATCCACTCAGGGCCTAGTGAGTCCCGTTGAGACAGCAGGGAAGGTGGAAGGGCACAACCATTCAAAGAATGACACAGCAGTTAGCACCAAGATGGTGGGAGATTCAACTCCCACAGACCTTGAACTTCATTACACTGTATATATTAGTATCCTAAATGGCACTCCCACAGGCACCAGGACAGTTTCAAAACTGACCATAAAAGGTCCAAAAGTGGGTGATGGCCCAGTTCCTGGGAACCCCAGCCCCTTCCCCAAAGTAGTTGAAATAATCCTCCCGTTTGTTAGCACATGAAGTTATGGAGCCCATGTGAAGCAGCAACCCTCACACCTCGCGGCCGCTCTCATTCTCCCCAGCTGGCCCCAAGCTCCGAGGCCGCCGCTCTCCCTTCTGAGTAAGAAGGCCCCACGTTCTGCCTATGGAGTGTGTATCTCCCAGGCCTTTCTCTGGCCTTCTGAAATAGCCTGCTCTCTGTCTGTGGAGTGGGTATGTCTCTGAATGAATCTACCTTCACTCGACTATGGCTCGCTCTTGAATTCTTTCCTGTGTGAAACCAAGGACCCTCACTCGATGGGGCGCGGCCCAGGGACTCTCCTGGGACCCGGAACATGGCCGTCCTCTCGCGCCCCATTTATCCTGTATCACCAGGAGCTCCCTCAACATGCAGCTCCGGAAGCCCACATTGCCCACCCCCAGGGGTTACAGAGGTCTCCCTGACAGGACCGTGAGCCCTGGGGCCAGACCCAGGCATGGCAGGTGCAAGGTGCAGCTGGCAGGACTGGCCAGTGGGGTCTTGGCTTGAGTCCAGATTCTGGCCTTGGTGGGGCTCTAGACACACCCTCCCACAGCAAGCAGGACGTGGGAAAGCTCCCTGAGGTCATGGGACAGGGCATGGGCTCCAGGGGCCGCATTCTCACCTGTGTCAGGTCCACCAGCTTGTCCCTGCGTGTGGGCTGAGTCTCCAGGGCTCGCAGCTGGGAAATGAGCTCGAAGCGCCGCCTGTGCTCCTCCCTGGCTGCCTCTGCGCTGCGCTGCAGCAGCTCCCGGCTCTCCTCTATCACCTCCTGGACTTGGGGGCCAAGCAGAGTGCCAAGGGGTCAGAGCATGGCTGGCCGGTGCTGGGCAGGGGGTGGCATACCGGGAGGGCACTGAGCCCCCACCGCACCTGTCTGCCGTCGGCCCTTCAGCAGCTTAGTCTGTGCCACCTTGACGTTCTTCTGTGTCTCCATCACCTGCTCCACCAGCTCCTTCATGGACCTTTCCTCCTGGAGGCGCCGCTCAGCACACTGCTGCATCAGCTCAGCTGTCTGGACACCCGGTGGCCACAGTCAGAGCCATGGCCTGTGCCCCGGGACCTGCCCTGGCCCCATGAGCAGCGTGAGGTCTGGAGGGCAGACCCAGCCCCTGACCCCGAGTCACCCTGCTATCTGAGTCTAAGCTCATCAGCCTCTGGAGGTCAGGCCTATTGGGGAAGTTCCGCCTCAGGTCCTCCTCCCTCCGCTGTCGTCCCAGGGGTGTGAGCCCAGCACCACGCAGACACTTCCCCAGAGCTGATCACGAAGCTAAGGGGAGTAGCCAAGAGAGTCCTGGGGGAACCATGTCAGAGTTGCTGGGTTTGCCCTGAAGCCCACCCACCACTGACTCCAGTGAAGAGAGGAGGGCGCTCAGTATGAAAACATGTGGTGCTGGATGCTCAGATCCTGCCCAGGCCTGTGCACAGGACATGCCAGCTCCAAGGAGCCTGCCCACTGTGTGGCCGGGCACGCCCTGACAGTCGTTGCACACTCTTCTTTCTCCCGGAGCCTCAGAAGCGTGCAGCCCTAACCCACACTGTGGAGTGCTGCCACCTTGACTGGCACATGGGAATTGCCCGGCGTGCCCCTGCCCTGTCCCCTCTTCTGCTCAGCATTGCAGACTAGCCTCACCCACGTGTTCCCTGGGATTGCAGCTGGCTTATTCTCACAGCTGTTTTGGGGATACATCACAACTCTTGGACCCATTCTACTACTGACAGACACTCAGATTGTTTCCGGTTTGGCACTACTGTGAACAGTTCAGAAGATTATTTTCAGTCTCCAAGATACTACAAAGGACAGGGCAGGGTGTATAGCTCCTGTCACTGCCCAGAGCTGCCAGGGATCCCTGGACTCCTCGCTCCTGGAGGTCTTGGCAGCTGGGGGCTCATCTTCTACTGCAGAGTACGTGGAGGGTTCACCTGTGGCGCGTGAGCTCCAGGTTTAGAGACACTGGGCAGGAAGGATCCTTTCATAAAGCAATTTGCTATACTATGCCATTTTATGTAAGGGACTTGAGCATCCTCAGATTCTGGTATCTTTGAGGGTCTTGCAACCAATTCCCCTCAGATACTAAGGGACAGCTGTAAATTCCTTAAGCACAGAGACTGTTAATAACCTTTGTGTCCCTTATAATAACTAATATACGGCCTTGTGCATAATAAGAATTCAACAAATATATGTTGAATTTCATTCAATAACTATTTACTGATTGTTGAACTGATTCCAAAAATTTTTTGAATGCCTACCATGTATAAACAAAAGCAGTTTTAGATCAATTAGCCTGACCTGAATTTATTTCACACACATACATTAAAAATATTAAACATTCATGGAGCAATTAAAACCCTTGTGCAGTGTTGGTGAGACTGTCAAATGGTACAGCCACTGTGAAAAACAGTGTGGCAGTTCCTTAGAAAATTAAAAATAGAATTTTCATAAGGTCCAGCAATTCCATTTTTGGCTACATAACCAATAGGATTGAAAGCAGGAGCTCTAACAGTTATTCGTACACCATGTTTATAGCAGAAGTATTCACAGTAGATGAAAAGTAGAAGCAACCCAAGCGTCCATCCACAGATGAACAGACAAACCAAGTGTGGTCTGTGCACTTGATGGGATATGACCCAGCCTTAAAAAGGAAGGACATTCTGACACCTGCTACAACGTGGATGAGCCTCATGGACATTGTGCTCAGGGAAACAAGCCAGTCGCAAAAAGACAGGTACTGGTACACTTCTATGAAGTAACTAGAGTAGTCACGTTCAAAGAGACAAAGAGTGGAATGGTGGTTGCCGGGGCAGGGGGAAGGGCGAAACGGGGAGTGACTGACGCACACGGAGGCTCAGTCGCAAGCTGAAGAGTTCTGTCTGGAAAAGGATGTTCATACAACACTGGGAACTCTACACTGAACTGTGCACTTACAAATGGTTAATATGGCAGATCTTGTTACGTGTGTTTGAGCAATGTAGAAAAAAGAAGTTTAAGCCTCACCCCACCAAAAAAATAAAGCAATTTGCTGGCACGTATGAAAATGGCTCTTGGTCATCCCTTTCTGTGCAGGTTAATTCCAGATTCTAAGAAAAGGAACCAGGGCTTTTGGAGAAATGGCTCTTTTAGGGCCAGAGCATAGAAGATACAGGACATGCCTGGAGCGTCTGCAGCGTAAAGTAAGGAAGCACTCAGGAAACAAAAGAATAGGGGGCGTGTCCAGGGGACACGGGCAGTCGACCTGAAAGGGCTCCCAATAGCCAAAGCTGGCAGCAAAATAAATCGTGTCGTGTTGGACCACAACACAAAGTGTGCGGTGAATACACATGAGCCCACACCGACATAAGTAAGTGACGGCAGACGTGAACGAGCGGGGGACAAGAGACAGGTCTTCTGTGCTGAGAAACTCCACATAACCACCCACTCCCTCGCGTGTGAACCCCGCTCAGGGTCCCCTTGCAAAGAGTGCAACGTGCAAAGGGGGAGACACCAGGGCCTGAAGCCGAGCGGCCGAGCTCAACATCGTGGCGGTAACAGCAGGCACGTGTGATGAGAAGGCACGTGGCCTCCGTGGTCTTCCTCCCATGCCCGGACTAATCGTGAGCAGAACATCCCACATCCCAACAGACGGACGTCCCACAGGACACCTGACCAGCACGCCTGCAAGCTGCCAATGTCATCAGGAACACGGGAAGTCTGAGAAAATGTCACGGCCAGAGGGAGTGCGAGACATGACAACTTAATGTGATGTGGTGTCCTGGATGGTATCCTGGACAGAAAAGGACATAAATCAGAAAAAAAAGGATGAAATCTGAATAGAGTGTGGAGTTTAGTTAAGCATCGTGTACCAATGTTGGTTTCATAGTTGTGACAAATATACCATGGTGTAGTGGCTTAGTGCCCCCCCCAAATTTGTGTCCACTTGGAATCTCAGAAAGTGGTTTTATTTCCAGCTAGTTTAGGATTCAATAAGTAATTCATTCAGGATCTTGAGACGGAATCTTCCTGGATTTAGGGTTGGCCCTAAATCCAATGACAAGTATCAGCATAAGAAGAGGGGAGGGCACAGAGGGACACAGAGAAGGTGGCCGTGAGAGGAGGGAGTCAGAGACTGGGGTGAGGCCGCCACAAGGAATTCCTGGGGTCATCAGAGGCTGGAGGAGGCTTAGAGCAAGCCTGGCCCACCTGACACCTTGACCTCAGACCTGTTAAAAACGGTCCAAAATAAAAAGTTTATTTTGAAAAGTACTTTTGAAAACTTTTTAATAAGTTGGAGAAATGCTTCTGTGGAAATACGAAGTGAAATAAAGCAGGCTACCCAAACCCGGAGGGGTCTGGTCTCAAGCTGATAAATGACACGCAAGAAAAGGTGACTGGACTTGGAGGCAAGGCGGGCTGAACTGCATCCCGGGGTCCCGCTCATCAGCGTGGCGCAGACAGCGCCGAGACGGCTGGGAGCCCGGCTCTGGGGGGTCCCCGCAGCTCTCTCCACTCCTCCCACAACTACCACCGCCTGGCTGACCCTGTCCCCAGCAAGGGCCATCAGACACCAGCACAGGGACACCTTCAAAATTCACATGAACACACCAAACAGTGTTGTTTTTGCAGGTTAGAAAGGAAGAAATAAAATTGTTCTTATCCACAGGTAACATAACTCTGTACACAGAAAATTCCAAGGAATCCACAACCAAATTCTTTGTTTGTCCAGAAAGTTAACAAAGGGGTCAGCAAGGTCACAGGGCACAAGAGCAACACACAGAAACCAACTGCGTTTTTATGTACTAGCGCTGAACACGCGGACACCAATGTTAACAATGCGCGAGATGCCATTCACAACACTCAGACACGGTGACAGAACGGGCACGTAAACAGACCTCAGCAGCGCTCACTGTCAGAGATGCAAATCAAAACCACACTGAGGCAGACGACCTCACACCGGTCAGAGCGGCCACCATTCAAAAGCCCACAAACGGTAAATGCTGCAGAGGCTGTGGAGGAAAAGGAATCCTCCTGCACTGCTGGCGGGAATGTGCGTTGGTGCAGCCACTGTGGAAGCCAGTGTGGAGATGCCTCGAAAGACTAGGAATAGACTTGCCATCGGACCCAGCAATCCCACCCCCGGGCATTAATCTGGAGAAAACGCCGACGGAAAAACATACACACCTCGGTGTTCACAGCAGCACTATTTACAGTAGCCAAGACATGGAAGCAGCCTAAGCATCCATCAACAGATGGCTGGATAAAGAGTTGTGATCTGTATGTGAAGGAACACTACTCAGCCATAAAAAGAATGAAATAAGCCTTCCGCAGCAACATGGATGGACCTAGAGATGCTCATACCAAGTGAAGTCAGTCAGAGAAAGACAAACATACGATATCTAAAAAAACCAACACAAATGAACTTACTTACAAAACCAAAACAGACTCACAGACGTAGAAAACAAACCTTGGTTACCAAAGGGGAAGGAGGCAGGGAGGGATGAATGAGGACTTTGGGACTGGCAGATACACGTCACTGTGTATGAAGTAAACAGCAAGGTCCTACTGTAGAGCACAGGGAATTACATTTAATGGCTTGTCATAACCAACAAAGAAAAAAGATGAAAAGGAATATATACATATGTGTGACTGAATCACTGTGCTGCACACCAGAAACTAACACAACACTGTAAATCAACTATACTTCAATTTTAAAAAATAATAGAAGAAATACTTAGATGCAAACCTAACAAAACTTGTACAGTATGTACATACAGAAAGCTGTACAACACAGATGAAAAAAATAAAAGATTTAAAGAAATGGAGAGAAATACAGCATTGAAAGGCTGGAAGACTCACTGGATGGCCACTTGGAAAAGACAGAAGAGGACCCAGATCGCACATCACGTGCAAGAATGAACTTCAGGTGGATTAGAGAACCAGATGTCAAAGTGAGACCACACAGATCCTAGAAGGGAACACGGGTTCATTTTTCTATAACCCACTCTGAGGTTTCGGGAGGAGGTGCCCCGGGTCAGCGGCCACGGGAGCGCTGGGCCCTGGCCCTGAGCCGCCCGCACACCCCGTCACCTCCGCCTTCTTCCGGTCGGCCTTCTGCTTCTTCTCCTGCACAACCTGCTGCCGCGCCAGGACGGCCTCCTCGTGGCTGAGCTTGCCTTGCAGCCTCCGGCACTGGCCCGCAGCCAGCTGCTCTGCCTGGTCCTTTGCCTGCATCTTCTTCTGCCACTCGAGGAACCCGGAGAAGTCCCCCGCGCCATCCACAAGCCTGTCCACCCTGGGGAGAGGGCAAGGGGCAGGGGCTCTCCTGTGATGGGAGCTGCACTGGCCACCAGGAGGCCACGGGTTCCTCTGGGGGCAGTGGCCTTCCCAGGCGTGGGCCACCCTTTACTGACACCAGCCACACCGTGATCCACCCGCCCACTGTCCACCCGTCCCCATCCTGTGCGCCCACCCTTCAGCCATATCTGCCCTGCCTCCCTTCCTCCACTTGTCTGTCTACTCACCTGTCTGTCTATGCACCATCCCCTGCCCCACCTTCTGTCCACCTGTCTGTCTGTCCATCATCCCTCTGTCCATCTGTCCATCCTTTCATCCATGTGGTCAGCCACCCACCTTCCCACCCACAGCCCAACTCATGGGGTATTCACAAGGGTCTGCAGCCCTGATGGTCTAGGGGAGGGGGCATCAGAAAGGGGTCCGAGGAGAAGGTGACCCCTCAGGGAGTTTGGGGTGGGCCAGGTTTCTGTGCTCAGCCTCCCCCCCGCCCCGTCCATCTCCCTCAGGGAGTGGAGATGATCTTCCCAGCTGTAGCCCTGATACTGGCCTGCTTGAGCCCCACTCCAGCCCCTGCAGGATCGCAGCCCTGGGGTGGGGGGTGCCGAGGAGCTGCCGCCCCCACCTCTGCAGCTCCTTCTCCACCTGCCGCTGGAACAAGGCCCCTTCTCGCAGGATGGCAGCAGTGTTCAGCTTGACCGGAGCACTGTCGTTAGACTGCAGGAGACAGTGGGGGCCATCTGTGATGGGAGGTAAGGGAGCCTGAGAGCAGAAATGCCCCCTGCCCTCTGCCCTCTGCCCTCTGCCCCGGGGGTCAGAGGGCTGTCCTCGGGGCCTTCAACTCTGGCCACCTGAGTCCTCCAGGGAGAGATGCCTGGAACCATCACCCCGAACCCACCCCAACTGCTCAGGGGCACCCCTCACCCTGTAGAAAGTCAGTTTTGGAGTCTTGAGGATTTGGGGCAGGAATCGGCGCCGCAGCTTCTTCCTGGAGTCCTGCGAGAGTACGGACCTGGCACCTGTGCCCGCAAAGTGTCCCCAGATGCACCCTGGGTGAACGGTGTGGGGCCCTGAATCCCTGGGAGGCCTGTCCCATCCCGCTCTGTCCTAACTCCAGCTGCCCATCCACGTGTTCCAGCCTGGCCTGCCCCCTGCACTGGGTCCGCAAGGCAGCACCTCTGTCCTCCAAGGCCCTCCAGCCACCCAGGTAGGGGCAGGGAAGGTGCAGGGCCTGCCCGGCCAGGGACAGCAGTGCCCAGCGAGGGGCTGGAGCCTCAGGGCCCAGGGACCATCTCCTCCGCTGCCCTAGGGCCAGTCCCCTGACCTCTCCTGGGCTGCTCCCTGCAGCTGCTCTGTTGACACCCCCAGGGTGGGCACCACGGCCACGGTGCAGGGAGCAGCTGGTAAAAGGCCCCCCCAGGAACTCAGCCATCACTCCCAGGGCATGCTCTTACTGAGCCAGGTGCCCACTCCCCTGGCCTGCCCGTCCGCTGCAGCCGGTAGGGCCCAGGTGGGGAGGCCGGGGCCGAGCTAGCCACTCCCGAGTGTGCACCCGCCCCACATCCACCCAGAAGGGGTCTTTGTCCTGCTCCCTGACTTTCTTGATTGACAAACACAGCTTGGGGTTTTTCTTATAGAAATACTAAATGCTTAGTATGGAAAAACCTGGAAACACCCAAAGAGGGAGATCGCCTGCCTGCCCGGGCAGCATTCAGCCTGGCCCCAAGCACCGTCCTGGTGGCACTGGGACCCGACCCTCCGCGGCCTGACCCGGCGCAGGGAGGAGCTCGGCTACCACATGAGAAAATGCCACCATGGAGACCAGCCCGGGCGTGGAGGGCTGGGCCTCACCTGCAGCGGGGGCGCCCCCCGGGCCCTGGACATGGCACACCGCCTCTCCTCGATGTTGGCCCTCAGCAGCAGCTCCTGCACGAAGCAACAAGTCACTCCAGCCCCACCGGCCATGCTGCTGAGGGGTCCCTGGGCTGCAAAGGCACAGACCAGCTCCCCCTCCACTCTTCCTCCTCACTCCGTACCTCCACCACCCCCAACCCCCACCGGGTCTCTTGGAAGCCACCTCCGCTTTCCAGCGGTTGTATCTCTTGGTCATCTCCAGTAAATGCTGCTCCTTGGGCGGCTGGTAGGTGCTCCTGGGGACCTGGTGGGGTAGCGGGAGGAAGAGCTCAAGGTGGGCGGCTGCAATTTGGAGGGGTGGGTAGAAGTGAGGGGCTGGCGGCCCGCTGGACGTGGTGGAGGGGGGGTGGTGCCCGTGCCAGGAGAAGCGGGGCTGGAAAGGAAGCCACTGAGCTCTGCCTGGGCCCCGCCAGGTGCTGGCATCATCCACGGAGGAGACGGAACGACGTCAGGCCAGCAGCCAGAAGGATGGTGGCCAAGCAAAAGCCCAGGCCCACCGGACACTGGAGGGACAGGTAGAGGACTGCTGGCTGCGCAGGGGATGGAGTAGGAGTGGCTGGAGGGATGGGTGAGGCTGGGGGAGTGTCAGGGACTCAGAAAATTGAGCTGCCCCTGAAGCGGAGGGGTTGTAGCAGGGCTGAGACATGCCTGGGGTCCAGTCAAGGGGGGACCCTTGGCAGCCTGGAGAGAGCAGCGTTCTTGGAGGTGGGTGGGGCAGAGCCAGCCTGAAAACGCCTGAACTCCAGGCTCCTAACTCTGGGGTCTCTCTCCTGCATGTCTAACAGTCCGTAGGAAACTCCTGTCCCAACCTGAAACCCTCATCTTCCCCAAAACCCTCCCCTGCCCTAGCCTTGCTGATCCCGACTGCCGCCCATTTCTGGCCCACATCAAGCCCTCAGGGTCTGCCTTAGTGCCCTCCTCTGCACCTGTCTCTCACAGCCCTGTCCACCCCAGAAGCTGTCTACCTGCTTCAAGACATCTCCACAAACCACCTTTCACCTCCCTCCTCTGTCACGGCAGACAGAGGACCCTATGAGCCTGCCTCAGAGTGTGTCCTGTCTCTCTGCTTCCTCAGCATCTCCCCTCCCATCCCCTCCTTCCCTTCCTGGCTGCTCTCGAACCCTTGGGGGAGGAATGGCGCTGCCCCCAGGGACTTTGCACATGCTTTGCTTGTTCCCCATGGCTCACTTGCTCACTCTTCCTGTTCTTTACTCCATGGTGCCTGTCAAGAGGCTTTCCTGGCCATGCCATCCAGAGCTCCACGCAACCCCTCCAACATGTCTCATCCCCTTTCCCAGAGGTATTCTTTCTCCTTATCATTTATCACCAACACACCATACGTTTTACTTATCCTGTTTTTTCTCTGAGTCCCCCTGGAATGCATGTTCCCTGAAGGCACAGGGCCTGGGCATTCCACATGTAACTGCTGAGTGAGTGAATTGGAGTGAGCCCTCAACTCACGAGGGGAAGAGGGCCCTGGGCATGGAGCAGGGCAGCGGGGTGGGGAACTAGCTCGTGGCTCCAGCACAGCCATCTGTGGACCCCAGGGGAGGTGATGGTCTGCCAATATCTCACAGCTCGTGCTGGGAGGCACGCAGCTAAGAAGTGGGGCAGTGAGGGAAAGAGATGCAGCTGGTAGAATGACTTGAAATAAACACACTTAGCCCTGAGGAGCTGGTGTCAGAAATGCTGAGGATTGTACAGACCGAGTAACTGTGGGATTGCTCAGGAACAAGGCCCATTTATCATCCTTCTGTCCATCTGCCCATCCATCCATCCACGTGATCATCCATCTACTCACACACCATCCATTCATCCATCATCCATCCATCCATCCATCATCCATTCATCCATCATCCATCCATCCACCCACCCATAATTTATCCATCCATCCATCTACCCACCCATCCATCTTGTCATCCATCCAACAGGTGTTTTTCAAGGGTCTGCTCTGAGCCAGGTCTGTGGCAGGTATTGGGAACATGGGACAAATAGGATGGACAAAATCTGGTAAAAGAGACAGCTGATGAACAGACCCACAAACTACTGAACAACTATGAAACCTAATCGATGCTACGAAGAAAAGGATCTGGGCCAGTGAGAATGAAATTAACCGAGGGACCTCATACAGGTGAGAGGTTCATGAAAGGCCTCTCTGGGAAGACAGGTCATGATGAGACCTGACAGGTGGTGGGATGGGCTGGGGACCTGGGACTTCCCAGCACCACCCCTTACCCTCCATATTGTCCTTAGTTCTGCTGGGGAATCAGATTGGTTCTGGGAAGCTGAATCCACCACAGGTGCTGAGAGTAGAGCCCAGGACCAGTCAGAACACCACACCCCCAGTCATGGTGATCAGTTCAAGGGCAGACATGCAGCCTAAGTTGTTCTTGTCATGCTTTCACAGAATTTTTGGCCCTAGATGTCTTCTCCTGCCCAGGATGGTGTAGAGTGTGGGTGTGAGGCCTGGATGTCTTGCTACAATGAGGGAAGTTAGCCCAAAGGTAAAGTTGACCCTCAGAGGGGACTAGGGTGAAGAGAGTCACAGAGAAGCAGACCTACCACCCTCATCAAACTATGCCTGAAGCCTATCCTACTTCAGCCGTGAAAGTCAGCCAGTTCTCTACTGTCAAAGCCAGAAGGAGCTGCTTTTTGTTTGTTACTTGTAACACAAAGCATCCTGACTGACAGGAGAAGTCAGCAAGGCAGAGGGAGGGGGAGGCACAGGGAGAGGCTCCAGGCAGATGGGACAGACGTGCAGAGCCCCGGGGTGGGGACCAGCCTGCGTGCTGGGGTCACCCTCGAGGCTTAAAGAGTACGGAAGAGTACAGTGTGGTACACACACACACACACACACACACGGAGGGAGCAATATGTTGCAACAGGGTTAAAAGTGGGCTCCAAGTGCCAAGTCCAGAAGCTCTGAGTCCTGCAGCCCGACAGCGTCTCTCCAGGCCTGCGGAGCAGACCTCAGCATGTGCAGCTCGGGCGTCCACCTGGCAGGTTCTCGGGCAGCTAGGCTTCCCTCTCTGCAGGGCGAGGTGGGTTGGATAGGGCCATCGAATGCTCTTGGTCTGGTTCAGTGCACCCTCGGCCCTGGGAAGAGCCCAGCCTCCACTCTCCTGGCCTGGATGGCTGGTGCCCGCTGCCATCGCCCACACTTACTGGCTTTGTCTTGGCCACCTCAGGGACTGGCTCAGGCACTGGAATGGTGCGGGGCCTGGGGGCCGTCAGGTTGAACTCCTTGGGCTCTGTGACTTTGGCCTTGGTCTTTGAAACAGGGGACTGATTGGTCAATGGTCCCTGCAGCTGGTTGATCAGTTCCTGGACCTCCGGCTGCCACCTTGAAGGCAAAGGTGGGAGCAGCCACTTAGGGTAACTTCCTAGGCAGGTCAGTAAGGGTATGGCCCCCTGGGACCTGAAGGACCCCTGGGAGCCTGAATTTGCCTCCAGGTGGGGCCATGATGAACCAATATGCCAACCACACCCCAGGGTGGGTATACCCATGCTCCCCGAGTGCAGACAAGGAAATGGAGGTCCAGCAGCATCACCGTCCTAGGGAGTGGGGAGCTGGGAGGCAAGGCCAGGGCAGAGCCCCGCTGCAGGGATCTGGGGGCTCTGAGGATGAGCAGCAGCTGGGGACATGGAGCTAATGTGGGCCTGAGCAGATGGCACAGAGGAAGGAAGGCAGGAGCGGGGAGGAGGCTGGTAATTCCAAAGGAAGATTCCTGGAGCTGCACCGTTGGTGACAGGTGGGACGGGACAGCAGGAGAGTCTCAGTGTCTTGAGGTGGGGGTGCCTTGGAGCAGGGGTTTGGGAAGGGCCCTACTGGGCTGCCCCAAGGTCTAGGCTCCCAACTATGCCTCCACACCCTGAGTGGACACAGCCCACCGTCACCAACTTGGCCAGTGTCCCTTCCTATGGGGCTCCCCTGGGGAGGCAGCTCCTGCCCCAGCTCGAGGACCACGCCACTGGGGGAGAAAGGGCATGGCTGTGGGCCAACGAGGAGTGGGGTCCCGCGAGGGGTGGGCTGGGGAAGGGACAGGTCTGTGATGGGCCTGGTCATGGAGGGAGCGGGGAGGGCTGCTTATGGGGTGGCAGGGTGGGCTGGGACACGGGGCCTTGCAGGCTCAGGCAACAGGTGGCAACCCTGGGGACAGGCAGCGAGTCCAGCCCGGCAGGGGTGAGGCCTCTTCCCTCTGGTGAAGGGGCAGCTCTGAGGGACACCCCACTACCCTCTCCTACACAAAGGCTTTCCGTCTTCCCTGGGCCTCTGGGCCTTGCGCACACAGCTAGCACCTGAGGGGTCTGCTTGTGCCCAAACAGCCTGTCTGTCCCCAGGAAGGCAAGGTGGCCCCTCACCACCATCAAGGGGAAACAACGGGGAGGGGCAGCTGCACCCCGCCCCAGCGGGCCTCTCCCCAGTGCTGGTCCTTCTGCCCAGGGGTCCTGGCCTGCACCAGGAAAACCAGCGTGTGCCCCAGCCTGTTGTGGGAGGCAGGGCAAGGCAGTGAGGGCAGCGCTGGGGTGAGAGGCCCAGGGGTGGTGCCCTGGGGGCTGCCGGGAGGAGACGCAGGCCTGAATCCACAGTAGCTGCACGGTTGCCTCAGCTCCCCACCCCGCCCCTACTCTGCTCGCTGAGATCTGCAGAGAGGCCGAGGAAGGGCCCCAGCAAGGTGGCACTGTCACGTGCCCCTGCATAGCCAGCGGGCTCCAGAACAGAAGGGGCCAGCTCTCCCCCCGCTGACCTGCCTGGTCCCCACACCACCTCTGGCCATCAGGCCCTGCGGGCTGCTAGCTGTCTGCGGGCTGTGGAGCTCGCCCTGGGCCTCCGGGGGAGAAGCCCGCCCTGCCCACCTCATCAGGGGGTCGATCCAGTTCTCTCTCACGTAGGCGGTCTCGTACACAAGGCTCCACTCGTCCTTGATCCATGAGCCAAGGTTCAGGGGGTTGAAGAAGAACCTGAGGAACTGAGGGAAGAGGGAGCCGCAGGGCTCGGGCCCAGACCTGGCTGGCGAAGCCCCCAGCGCCCCCACAGGGAGAGTCGGTGCTGAGGGACTGGCTGCGGCAAATGGCCCACGAGAAGACAGCTGCCCACAGCAGGCCGGGCAGGAGGTCGGGGATGTGGGCCTCCAGGTCTGGGGAGCCTGCACCCTCACTGCCAGGCAGGGCAGGACACCCCCCGCCGGTGGGGATCCTGTGCTCCAGCCAGCTCCCCAGCACCTGGAGGGCCCACACCCTCCTTCTGCAGAGTTCTTGGCGGGGATAGAGGGACAGCTGCCTGCTTCACCCAGCCCCGGCCTGCGGGCTGAGGCTGTCCCAGCCCCTCACCCAGCGCCACAGTCCCGTCACCTCCCTCCCAGTCCCCCAGGTCATCTCCGCCTCCCAGCCCTGCTCCCACGTCCTGTCTGGAGGCGGTAGTCGACCCCTGGAGTTGGGCTCTGGAGTCTCTGCTACTCCCAGCCCACTCCTACTCGGGACACCCCTCCATCCCCACCCCCACCCCCCATCATCACAGCTGGACTGCTGTCCCCCATCCAGGGACGTACCCCCCCCTACTGCCTGTGCACAGGGCTCTCCAAAATGAGGCCACCATCTGCGCTGGGGATGTGGTGGAGGTAGCCCCACAAGGGCACGGGATGGGATGGGAGTGGGGCTCCAGGGTGGGTACTCCAGCCAACTGGGGGATTCCAGCATGCGAGTTTGGGGGTCTTTGGAGGCAGTAGGATTGCCAGCCCCTATCCAGGTGCTGTCCCAAGACTGGTCCCTCCAGAAGGATGGGCCAGCTTCAGCCACATACAGCACTGTCTCCCACAGAGACCACAGCTGAGGGTGCCGGCCCACCAGCTTGGGCATGCTGCACACACCGACACATCACCGCCGACCACAGTGGTGACGACATCCAGGGTGCAGTCTGCGGGGGTCTCCCTGGGGAGGCCACAGGGCAGCCGTCCTGACCCCAACAGTCTGCTCCCTGTCTCTGGGGCCCAGGCTGATCTCTCCCCTGGAGCCCTGAGGCAGGTGGGCCTTAACGGGACTGCCATCACCGGCCAGGGTGTGGTGTGCGGCACATGGGGTGTAGGCTGTCTCGCCCCATCCCTGCAGCTCCCAGCTCCCATGTGAGTTGGTGTGGGCCATTTCCATGCATCTTCTTCCAGAAAGTCTCCAGGGAGCCAGATGCCCAGGCACCAGCCCTGGAGGCCCTGCACTGGCGTGTGCACCTGTCCACGGGGTCCCAAGCCGGCCCCTCCAGAGTCTGCAGGCGGAGGCCAGTGCAGGGCCAACACCACCGCTGTGGGACCCAGTGCAAGATGACACACGGGTCCCTTGCTCAACAATCACTAAGAATTTCAAGACTGAAAACAGAGCGTAAACCAAGTGCAGGCGCCCTGAGCCAGGGCAGCGGGCCCCAGGGCGGTCTCCAAACACCTGTCATAACATGCTGTCGTGAGGCGGAGACTTTGCTTAAGAGAACCATGCACATATCTACCCACTGTGAATTGCTTACGCTTATGCGTAGGTAGGAAAACGCATAGTTAAAAATAACATGCTGCCCCAGGTCACCTGCGGGGGGCGGTACTGTGTGAGCCGCCAGTCCTAGATCTCTGGGGTCTTCCCTTCCCCAGGCAGGGGCGATGGCGAGGCTTCCACCCCCACCCTGCCTGAACCACTTGCAGCTCCCTTTCAGAGAGGCCCCACAGCACTTCTGGGGCCTGAGATCTGCCCACTGTTCTCCAGGAAGCCACTGTCCTGGTCTGGTGACTGACCCCCAAGCTGAGTGAGGAAGAGGAGCCAATCGTTGTCTGCTCACTTGCTGTGTGACGTTGGGCAAGTTACCAAACCTCTCTGTGCCTCAGTTTCCTCAACCATGGGACGAGTGCCTACAGGATCGACCTGCCCCTGGGCACTGCGGGCGGAGAAAGGGCCTGTCCCACGGCACACACTTCTGGGAGTGGCCAGCAAAGGGCAGTGGGCCTCAGGCTCGTTCACGGTCCTGCCGGCCCTGAGGCCTGGGTATCCCAGCTTTTCACAAAGGTAAGCAGGCAGCCACAGATGTGGCCCCAGGCAGGGCAGTGAGGTGGGCTCTGCAGTCCCCTCCAGGAGCGTGCCAATCCTCAGCCCCTGCCCCTTGGCCCCCTTAAAACTGCCCAGCCCTTCCTGGAGGGGAGGGGCTGCCGTGAGCCTGGGGTCTGGCCACGAGTCTGAGGAGTCTGAGGAGGCCCCAGAGGCCCAGGCCCTGGATGGGCAGGGGCCCCGCCCCGGCTGGCAGCTGACATCCAGCAGTCTCCACCCACCGGGACCCCGAGGCATGGAAACCAAACTCCCCGGGCGCAGAAAGCACGCTGGCAGCGAGGAGATGGTGTGGGTTTGCTTCAAACAGGATAAGCCCAGCAGTTCCTCTCGTTACAATGAGCCAGAAAGGTGAGAGGTCAGCGCCAGACGGGACCAGCCTTTGACCTTGGGTTTGAGGACAGAACTGGGGCAGGAGGGGCTCACCTTGCACACTTTGTGGACAGGCTGGGACTTGACGATGTCACGGAAGAGCTGAAGGCCGAGTTCCTCCAGCTGGAAGGCGGCCAGGTAGCAGATCACTGTGGACAGAGGGCGCGGGTGGGGAGGAGGGCTCGTCCCACGGGGGCACTGAGGTCCCCTTCCCTGGGCCCCTCGCGTTTGATCTTGGGGGAGTCAGACAGAGGCTAAGGGCCCAACAAGTGCGCTGCAGGGGCAGCAACCAGAGCCCAAGGCGCCCACCTCAGTCAGGGTGCATAACCAGAGGCGGAAAGCTCGTCAGGGCCCATGTGGGAACAAGCAAGGCGACACCGCAGCACAAGCGACGCGTCTCAGTGGGCGGGACCCGTGCCTTTAAAGAGCTTCCTCGTGCAGGGCCTCGTGCGATACATTTTCAGAAATTCCAAAACTTCTCTGGATTTCAGATTGGTAATTCTGAGGCTGAATCGTCAACTAGAACTTGGATGTCCCTGGGCGAGGGGGTGAGGGGGCACCCAGTTCAGTCTCCAAGCACCCTCAGTCCCATTCCCTCCCCTGCTGGACGGGCACTGAAGCCTATGTGGGGTCAGGGGCTGGGCCACCCTTCCCATGGTCACCACGCCCCATGAGGGCAGATGGCCGGCAGGAAGCCTGGGCAGAGACACCTCCTCCTATTTAATCCCTATCAGGACAGTCCAGACCCTGGCCATAAGGCCAGCCATAAATCCTCAGAGCTGTGGGGTCAAGAGCTCAGCCGATGATAAAGGTTTGTCATTTCCCCCAGGCTGGCCTCCTGGGGGCTGGGGCTCCAGACGTGGGCAGCAAGGCGTGGCTGTCAGTGTGCCTGGAGTCCATCTCCACGTCGGTAAGGGGGGGAGCCCATCCCCTGTCCACCCACTCAGGAGGCAGCCACAAGGAACTGGTGAGAGAAGGACCACCTAGACATCGCGTGTGCCCCGGGAGGTCACCGTTGCTCTGGAGAGTCTGCGGCTGACAAGGAGGTGAGCGCCTGGCCCGCGGGGACGCGTGGGCTCCCGCTATGTGGCTGGCTGCGGGCACCTACCCTCAAAGAGGCTGTAGTCGGCCCACAGGCAGAGCCGGCCGTCCCGCAAGTAGAAGGCGTCCACCACGATGGTCAGCAGCTTCTGGTACTCCAGGCACCCGGACAGAATCTCCAGGATGAACGCCTGCTTCTGGGGACTCAGAGTCTGGAAGAGAAACAGCCCGAGAGGGGGCCGCAGCCTCCAGGCGTGGGCGCCCCGCGTGCTGGGGAAAGCTCCTGCGCGGGACGGCCCCCCAGGCCCTCCCAGGCAGTGACAGGGAGGTGGGGGCAAGGGCAGAAATAAACATGGAAATGACGCGGCGACAACCCCAGAAGAGATGCCCTGTGTGACTCCAGCACCTGAGGCCCCTGGAGGAGTCAGATGCCCAGGACGGAAAGTAGAATGGATGTCGCCAGGGGCTGGGGAGGTGGAGGGGGACAGAGTTTCAGTTCCTGAAGAGGAGAATGTTCTAGAGATGGACGCTGGTGGTGTTCACAGCATGAACGTGCTTCATGCCACTGAACGGTACACACGAGAATGGTTAAGATGGTAAATTTTATGTCGTGTATTTTAATTGCCACAATAAAAAAAAGTTCCCATAAAGCTTTTCAAAGGAATGATTTTAAAAATCACAAAAAGAAAAAAAAAACCAGCAAAGAAAATCTTTAGGGGAGAGTAGCATCGGAGAAGACTGACCTCTTCACTTCCTTTTTGACACACTTTGGGGTTTGTAACCTGTGTGTGTCACGTGTTACCTACTCAAAAAAGTGATCACATTTTTGACTGTCAGCAAAAAGACCATCGGACGTTGTCAGAGTAGCAGTGAGTGAGGCTGGTGGGGGTCGAGGGTGTGGAGTCTTTCCCAAAAGCAATTTGGAAGCATGTTTCCTGAACCTTGTATTTTCCATACGCTTTAATCCAGTCATCTCACTTCCGAGAATCTAAGGAAACCACACAAAAGGCAGGAAACGTCCAGGGCAGCGGGGCTACGTGCAGCGGTGGGGTGTTAACGGCCTGAACATGATCAGAGGGAATCACTGGTCGAGTCTGACCTGTCTGTCTCATGGATGAGCTGGCCGCCACCAACATGATGACATCCTGGGGAACTCACAGTAAGACGACAGAATAAAACTGTTAGAACCGCGTAAAACTGAAAACGTAGACCAGGATCTCATCAGATGCAAAACACATCAAAACAAACTCCTGCGGGCAGCATCCTCCCCCTGCCATTTTTTGGCCAATCTGTTAGATAAATTTCGGTACCTCATTGCTTTCTTTTGGATTTTTCATTACCCATGAAATTTCATACATTTACTGGGCGTTAATTGGTATTTCTCTTCTGCGAAGTATCAGTTTATATTCTTGGCTAATTTTTTATTGGGATAGTCTTTTTTCTAATCACTTTGGGAGCTCTTGGTATGTTGAGGCAGTTAACACGGTCGTTAATGGAATAGTTGTTTGTCGTGAGCTTGCGGTTTGCCATTCAACTTTGTGTAAAATATTTTAAGTTGTCCTTTGTGATTTCTTCTCTTGCTTTCATGCTAGGAAAACAACAGTGTGAAGAGATCACGTGATGGGTCCTGGCCAAGCCCAGGTCCTCCTGGAGCCCCGGCCCCAGGTGTGTGAGCGCGGTGCCCACATACTGTCCCATGGAGGCTGGAGGCCCGAGAGCTGCCTTCTCCAGCCACTCGCCCCCAGGGTTCTGGGCAGCGTGGTTCTGCTGGTGAGATGCGCCTGCAGGAGAGACAGGAGGCGAGGGACACCCCCTCATCTCGGCAGAGGAGAGGCCCCCGGAGGGCAGTGGGCAGCTGTGCCCGGCACGGCTCCCTCACCCCAGGGGCACGGCAGGCACTCGGGAGAGCCGAGGCTGCCCAGGCATCCATTCTCAGCCCTCCCCACAGCTCAGCTCTTGCTGTCTTAAATCCCTTGCTCCTTCCACAGCCTGGAGTGGCTTCTGGGCTCCTGTGGGGACCCCACCTAACCTGGGGATGACATCCTCCTGCGACAACCCTCGCCCCCAGGCTCCAGGGCTGCTCCAACCAGCACTTGCCCTCTGGGTGACCTCACCCAGCATCAAGGCTGAAACGGGCGCCCCTGGCCAGCCCTCCCGTACCCGAGAAAGCTCCTCCTGCTCCTGCCCGACTGTCCACTGGGACGTCTGGTGCTGACCGCCTGGGCTGTGCCCACATCTGCCCCTCCAGCCTTCTCACCTCAGCAAACACAACCCCTGCCCCCAGGGCCCCGGTCGAGCCTGGGACACCCCTCCCTCGCCCGCACTGTCCCCGGGCCCAGGTCCCAGTGGCTCTCCCGCTTCCCCTCCTGCCCCGCCTCAGTGTATTCTCACCTCGGCCAGCTGCCAAGCAATTCTTTTAAAATGAAAGTCAGATCATGTCTATCCTTCCTCAGTACCTTCCAGAAGGAGTCCTTGAGCGGCAGCACGGTCCAGCTCCCTCTGAGTCCTCACCCAACCTTGGCTCCACTCCAGCCACACCGGCCTCCCTCTTTTTCTCCAACACGTGGGATGCCCCGTCAGGGCCTCCATGCTGGCTGCTCCCTCTCTCTGCGATGGTTTTCCCTGCACACCTGCTCCCCTACTCCCATCAGGTCTTTGCTCAGATGTCACCTGACCCGGGAGGCATCCCTAACCACCCCTCAGGGTCAGACACGGCCTGGCCCACTTGACGGGCAGCACACTCTGGCGGTTTATTGCCCCTTCTCTGCTAGACTGTCACCTGGGTGCTCACAAGAGAGAGGATGGAGCGCCCTGCCTCCCATGACGTCCCCTGAGTGAAGGCCGGGCACAGAGCGGGGGCTCCTTCCTTGGAGCACAGGCAGGAGAGGGGGGGCCCTTGCTAAGGGTCAGCTCTGTTCTCAGTAACCAGGCCCCTACTTCAGTTCTCTCCCAGGCTCCTCTCACCCTTGGGCTGTGCCCACAGCAGAGGGCACCCGCCCCAGCTGGGCCCCAGTCCCCTGTTTTGTCAAAGGAAGCCCAGGGGTTGGGGAGCGGGCAGGCGGGAAGCAGGGAGTCAGCAGGGCTGGCACGGAGGACGCCCTGAGTCAGCAGGGCCTGAGCCGAGGCTGCATGACTTTGCGGGACGCCTGCCCACGGCTCCTCTGCCTCCAGGGCTTGGGCAGCAGCAATTCCACTTCTCATTCATTTAAACGTCTGTGTTCGGGAAGTGTGAGTGTATTGTTTTAATGAGGTCAGAGCCTTGCGCTGCGGCTACAAGCCTGGATGCCATCCGCCCCCAGGAGAGGAGGTCAGGCAGGGCTGCACTAGGCCACGGGTCCTGGAAGGCACAGAGCCAGGCAATAAGTGACACCCTGGGCCCGTGTATGGGGCCAGGCCCATGACCTTCCTCACCACTGGGAAGGGCAGCCCAGCTGGTCACAGGGCCCGGGGCTGACTTGGGGGTCAGAGGGCACCAAACCCTACACCAGATCGTTTGGCTGGGCCAGCAGAGGGCTCTTGGGGCTGGACTAGGGGGAACTCTCTCCCAGAGGAGGCAGGGCAAGGCCTGGGTCACACTGTGAGGCCCCAGGGCCAGAGCCGGCCCCTGAGTCTGGGCCAGCCTCGGTCACTGAGGTCAGAGTGTTACAAC